TGAAAGACCACACTAGGATCCTGTATGCCTGTTTCGGAGACACAGCATACATCAATGGTATGAAATTGTAGGGTCTTAGCCAAAAAGAATCGCTGGCCGATTTGACATAGGGTACGTACGTTGAAGGCACCAACGTGTGTTCTGGAGAGAGGTTTCAGTAGACTTGGGACAATATTTCGCGCACTGGAATCGTTGGCCAAGGTGATATTTGAAGAAGAAGTCAAAAGAGGAATTCTAGAGTTGAAAGTCAACGTAGGATAAATAACAGGTATTGAAGAGGGAGATTGATCATGAATTTAGTGATCTTGAGTACTGTTAGAGGTATGAGGGAGGTTATCACTCCCCGGTTGCCCAAATCGTGGTAGAGTTCTTTTAGAGAAACCTGAAAAGAAACTTGTATTAGAGGTGATCTTAGTGACCTGAAAGCGTGACCGCAGCGCCCAAGAGACAACTGCTTGAGGCCGGTTACACACGACCTTTTTGTGAGTACTATTCGTGTTAGCTTCATACTTGTCGGGACCTTACCGCCGGAGACGGAAATCCGTGGGATAAGGTGAGGTGTGTATTTTCTGGGTCGGCCTTTTCCAACCCCACCCCTACTTGTGGGAAGGCAGCATTGCTGTTATGCTGATTGTCTGAAGGAAACACCTTGCTGCCGTCATTACTTCTGTACAGTCAGCAGTACGACTTCGACCTCAGACCTTACAGCTCTTCAACCGACCTGTCTTGCATGGTAGGACATTGAGGAACGATTGTTCCAGCGAGTATAGCTTGATTGGTTCATCATGATAAGCAAGTTCGACCACCACGTCAACGTAGCAGCAACCAGGGAGAACTGGGCCGCTGTTTCATCTTCTTCTTAGCATTGCGAATGAATGATTTCGTCAAGGATTTAACTCAGGACCTTCAGGTCCCGTGGTGATCACTTAACAGATATTCAGCTCATAAAACATAAAAACAACAAAAGTATTCTACCAAGTAACAGCTCTTCCACAATTTTCATTGCAAAATTCACAATTTAAATTTATACGACAAAAGCGCACTAATTTACTCATTTGTTGTTGTATTCTTGGTGAAAGTAATAGTAAGTTTTTGTTGTAGACACATAAAATTGGGTCACTGTAGAGGATATAAGGGCATACCGATTCCAAATATGATTATGAAGGATTAAGATAAGGCCATTAACCACCTGCGGTATAGTGAGTTTCATATAATTTGAGAAAATGTAATTATTAATTTCGAAATATTTCATGTATATTGTTCTTACCCTCTCGCGGATGATAGTATTTTCATTCACTTACCTGATGGTCTCATCACACTATATATATATATATATATATATATATATATATATATATATATATATATATATATATATATATATATATATATATATATATATATATATATATATATATATATATATATATATATATATATATATATATATATATATATATATATATATATATATATATATATATATATGTTCCAGTTACCAAATCATCTATGCACAAAACACTTAGAAAATCAAACAGTCGAACCAAAAGATTATAATTTCTCTACAGTTGTGGTCCAAAAGCTTCTATCAAATACATATAATGCTTCACAGAGACCAGATATTAGGCTTCTTGAAAAATTACCAATTCTTTTACATTGCTTGATGATCCCATTTGGTAATTATTACTACTTTCAGACTAGTTTCTCAAATGTACTTTAATAACTATCAACCACTGCTGATTGTTTTTGCCATTGTTCGTTTATAAAGTCAGTTAGTATTTCGTTCGTTTCTTTTTGTACGTGAATTTAAATTATTACTCGGGACATTTACTGCTAATAGATTAATTTATACACGAAATGAAGTACTAAACCGTAGACCAACTGCTTCATCGACTAATACTACTCACAATTGATTGATCACTGGGTGGTGATCAATGTCATGCTTGTCTAGTCCTTATTAGTGCAGATCGAATGCTATCGATCATGTTGCAATGTGGCCACCAGTCTAGGTGACTCGACACTGTGGGCACTATGTATTGAGATTAGATGGTGGTTGGGGGTAGTCAACAGGAAACCCTGGACCCGGGTTTCGTGCTACTTGGCACTCGTCAGCAAGGTGTACCTGTAATCTTGAGGGAACTGGTGCTCCCTGGCGGATTCGATCTCGTGTCACCCAGCTTCACAGTTAGAGACGTTACCACTGAGCTATCCGAGCCGCGACTGACCTCCTGTAGGACTGAGATGTAATCACAATTGATTGATCACTGGGTGGTGATCAATGTCATGCTTGTCTAGTCCTTATTCCGCCAGGGAGCACCAATCCCCTCAAGATTACAGGTACACCTTGCTGACGAGTGCCAAGTAGCACGAAACCCGGGTCCAGGGTTTCCTGTTAACTACCTCCAACCACCATCTAATCTCAACTAATACTACTCAGTTACGAAATTAGGGGTTTGGATCCAGTTGTAGGTTGATATTTTGATTGGCTTAACTAGCATCACTTGTATAGACAGGCGAGACCAAATCAAGATATAATATCAGATTATAGAATCAGTCATTGTCAGTCTGAGGCATGTTGGTAGATCCAGACTACTAGACTGGAGTTCGGGCAGTAACCACAACCAGTGGTTGGAGTGTCTCAGAGTGGTGTATATGAACTCACTTTTCATCTTCCTCTAGATCTTGAGTCCCAGTATTCCTTTGTTCATACCTTTTCAGTACGCTTTCTTGAATCATACTCTTAATGCTTAATATTCTTTAGTATCATTGATACTACGATTATTTCGACTATTTTACTATTTATCCTGTCAATTTCAACTTGTCATGCTAATATGGTACGTCAACTCAAGCTAATGCAAATTTTTGTAAGCATCTACTCTGATTATGACTGATCTGTGTAGGTTCCATTTCAGTCGGAGCTTTATTTTGTGAAAAAAAAGCGTTCGTAAAGATGATATGATTTCATACCAATCGTGGGTATTAGTTTAGGGGAACGTCCTGACAAGCTGTTCGAAAAGCTTTATCAAAACCAAGGATTAGTTTTAGCTGCACTAGGGTCAATTGAAGAAAATCATAGAACTCCAGTCCTATCGACAAATTTAAGTTTTTGAAAATCTAACTATACCAATCGACTTTTAGGGTGAAGGTTTTATAGAATAAGCTATGATTTCTGGAAAACTACACTGAAAGCGAGAAATTTCCTCAGAATTATTTCAACCCCTCTGTTGTAAAAGATATCGATCAAAACCTTTACGAGAAAAAGTCACTACACGTTAAAGTTCATCGATGAAATTGGAACCAATTGTCTGAGTTGGGCAGAAACGTAGCATGAAAATTGTATTCATTAGGTGTAGCATTTTTATTTACAAAAATAATATGAGAACATATTCCTTCATGAAGGCTATGTGAATGTGTTATTTGTTATAATAGCCCACCGAAATTGATAAAGTTGTAACTGGAATGACTGAGGTGACCGGAGTGATAATCTGATCATTGGTACAATCTCTGAATCATAACTGAGTAGACTTCAAGAGATAGAAACACTAACTGAAATTTATAAATCTTTATTAGAAAACCAAGTTTGTGGTTTACATATAAAATATTCAACCAAATTACTACGACTGTTTATTTGTCAACTAACCAATGATAATCAAGTGTAAAACTCAAGATCACAGGACAAACCAATGATTATTCAGTTTTGAATGCCATGACCACATTAATTAATCTTTAAAAAAACTATCTTTTAGGGTGACAGTGGTGGACCATTGGTCTGTGAAGATGATGGTGAATACAGATTAGCTGGTATTGTTTCAGCAACACACTCCAAACTGCCCGCTGATTATCCGGCAATATTCACACGCGTTTCTTACTTCGCCAAATGGATAAATGATGTAATCAGGGAGAACGGATATAAGAGAAAACCGAATGGTCTATTTTCATTTTTAAAAATGCATAACTGAAAATTACTATTATTTTTCACTTCTGTTATTACATGTTAATTTCCTTTTAAACAAAAGAAATTAGATATTAGTTGTTAAGCAATGAAAACAACGACTCTTGATCTACGCTGTGCTAGGAAGTTGACAAGTTAGGTAGTAAAGGGGTCCAGATAATCGTGGTATCTGTGATAGTGTGAAAAACTACGTTAAGATTCTGTCTTTTGGAGACAACATCGATCGATGTCACAAGATTTATAGAGTACTGGTTAGTGATATCTACTGTTCGAATTAGTATGGAATTAGGACCCTAGAACTTATACCATGTAGTTCAGAGGATGATTTCAGGGAATCTGGGATAGAATTTTTTTAACTCGAACCATTAGTGCTGATGATACGTGTGGAAGAATTTGAAGACAGATAAGGATGGATAGTAATGATAAAAGAAATATTAGGTAGCACGGATGATGTTCAATTGTGAACAACGTAATATTGAGTGACAGGGTATGACTGCGGTTTTCACTTTGCGGTTGCTCGCATAGTGCATGGATAATTGCTTCTGAGGCACCTGAAAATGAAACTGGGTTAGTAGTAGTTTTGGTGATCTAGGAGAGTGACTGCAGCAGCTAAGTGAAATCTTCAGATCGGTTATACACGGGCTTTTAGCGAGTTGTTTTTAATGTGTTACATCTGTACTTTAGAGGACGAAAATCAGTAAGATAAGGTAAGTTTAGCTATATCTAATCCCAATCTTTTCAAACTCGCTTTATCTGTTGTAAAGACGCAAGATAGCTATCGTGCTGTTTGTTGATGAGAAGCACATAACTACTGTCACACCCCAGTACGACTTTTTCCTTGGCCATAAGTTTGATGTTTATAGTCTAATCGCTCTTTAACTGACCTGCTCAGTATGTTGGAACAAATATCATAGACGATATAATTCGATTGGGTCATAATGATATGTAAGATTGACCACTACTTTATGCTCACAGTTACGGTCGGGGTTGATATGATGACAAGTTGTGACCGACACACACCGTTTACGGAAAGAGAAAAAAACGAAAGTACAAAACTCAACAAAATTTAATCTATTTCTGGGTAGCGAAGAACTATTTAAGAAAGACACAACACGCTATTACTACCAATATTATTCGACATCAGCTGGATTCAGCATTCTTTTTTCTTCATTCGAATACAATCCACAATGTTTAAATACATTCATATATACACTAAATATTTGTTTAGCATTTGACACAAGATATGATGTAATCAATTGAGCACATTTTGATTCATCCTGTTTTAAATACCATAAGGAATTTTCACATGGTGCAACTGATTTTAGATAATGACTGATTTGTCTAACTTGTATACTTGAATATAAATTAGCCATAACCATATCAGTTTTAGCGTAGTACGATTGACTTTTGAGTTGAAAAACACTATTATAAGAGATAAATAAATTAGATAATCGAATCAATAAATTATTAAATCCATACAACCAAATTAAAGTAAACAATGTAAAGAATAAGTTAAGCATTAAATAGAATTTATATAATCCATACTGTGATGATGATTGTTTAAATGCTACATGTAAATAAATAAAAAATGCAATGAATGTAATGAATAGTAGGCAAGCAAATGTTAACTCAAATAATCGTCTATCAATTTTATGATAAAATGGAAATTTCATTACGTTTTTATGTGAATACAATTGGATCATACCAAGTCTATGATGGTCATGATAATGACGAATATTATTCATAGATTGTTGCATTAATCCCCATAGTACATCAAATAAATTATTCATTGCAATCATATCCTCTTGTATGATAAGTATATAATCACTATGATTATGTTCTTGTTTTTTAACTAAATCAACTGATTTCAGCATACAGGTCGACATATCTCTCACAAATTGATAATTAACAGATAAATTCCTATAAGTTGATAATTGATTAGAACGCAATGGATGAATTGCATGCTGACCAACAAGTCGTATAATTTCATGTACATTAGACAATTCATTTATTTTGGTTCCATTCAAACAGATCATTATATTGATATATTTAAATCGGTAACCATACCTTGAAATATCTTCAAATATTAGTTTAATTAAGGTTGATAAAGATTGAGTTAAATAATCCGGTTGATAATCATCAATTTGATATTGAACACGATTCGACGTCATGATACTAATGACAATACCATGTTTATTACTTAAAATTGACAATGATGATTGTGGTGGTTGGTAAACAAACGGTATTTTTCCTTGATGGTACCAATCGTACATTAATGTGCGTAGATGAGCTAATCGTAATTCTTCACGATCTCGTACAGTAGATGCATGATAATTTATATTGGGAAATCGATAGTTGTTAATTATGGTTAGAAGAAAATATATGAAAATTGATAAAATGTTTATTTTTAGAAAAATATGTAAAAATGTATATGTTCGAAATAATCGTCTGATTTTAATTAATCGATTCATCAATCGGAACTAACTTTTGTTTGTTCAGTGTTATTTTATATTTATTGGGTTGTCATAGAGATAGACATACATACATTTTGAAGCAAAATATGATGAGAAAATAAACTGTTTGAATGACAGACATTTATTTATAAGCGGAACTAAAAAAAATATAACAAGCAGTAAGTTGTTAGTGCGAGGGAATTATGAGGAATGTCGGATTTTATAGTTTACACTAAAGAATAATCTCAGTTAAATAACCACTGAAAACCAGAAATAACTGAACTACTGTTTTGTCTTAGTATGAAATTCTTCAGTAGTGAGTATCCACAACCTTCTCAGATTTCAACGATTGTGCAACTGTTTGTTTAGTGATTTAAACTTTAAAACTAAGCTAATTATTTATCAACATAGGACTACCAAGCATGGATGGTGTGTCGGCACAAATCATTAAATATATAAGCATAGCAAAAGAAAGTTTATGAGACGAAATGCAGAGGATAAGAGTTAGTATCAAATGAAACCCAAAAAGAGAAATGTACAATTCAAAAGGGAATCCATGAGGTTGTACGATGAAAAGTTTTTAATTTGGAACTCAGAGTAAAATAAAAAACGAATATGCTGAAGCCTTCCGGTTCTGTTCTCCTGAATTTATATGGTTTGCCTAAAATTCATGAACCTAATAATAATCCATTACGACCAAAATTATCTAAGCGTGGTTCACCTACACAAAACTAGCAAAATGGTTGGTAAAATTGCTAAACCCAATCCGTAATAAACTATGTAAGTTTTCCTTAAAATATACATTTGAACTAATTAACCTTCTTGAGGACATTAATATTAAAGATAAGACTTTGCATTCCGTTAATGTAAACTCTCTTTTTACGAGTGTACCATTGACTAAGACTATGAATTTCCTTTGTGATTATATATCTAATGATTACCCCTTTTTTCCTATTCAGTCAACACTATTGGAAGAATTACTTTTGTTACGTACTGCAAATGTTCAGCTCACATTTGAATGCGAATATTTTCGGCAAGTTGATGATGTTGCTATGGGTAGTCCTTTGGGCCTTCTCTTAGCTGATGTATTTATGTTATATGTTGAAAATATGACAAGTGAACTCATCAGCGAGGTAACTCTATATAGAAGATACATGGATGATACATTAGTTGTATGTGATAAAGATTTTCAAGTTCACCAGTTATTAGATAAACTCAATGGGGTATTGAACGATATCGTAATGACCTATGAAGCAGAAAATAATGATTAATTGCCCTTTTTAGGCATACTTTTGAATCGAAGGGAGGATGGTACTATGAGACGGTCAGTTTGTACTAAACCAACTTAGGCACGGCAATATTTAAATTCCCATAGTCTCTGTCCATTTCAACACAAGCGAGGCTTGGTTACGTGCCTCTTTAATAGGATTCGAAGATTATGCACCACTGATACGGTTGGAGGAGATGAAAAGCTGCTGATTGACACACTAATATCAAATGGTTATTGGCTAAAGTTTATAAATAGCTGCAAAAGGCAGTCAACGCTAAGACGTCTCATTTATTCGATTCCGAAGAAAAAAGTTTATATCTATCTACCATATAGAGGTGAATGCAATAGTATAATTTTAAGACAGAGAATAGAGTAACCGTTGAGAAAACCTGATTGAAAAGACTAAGCCCATGATTCCATTTCACTCTCGTACACTAATTTCGGTTTGTTGTTGTTCGTTTGTTATACATTCCCTATATTCTCTATCTCTCCATAACCTCATTATTATTGTGTGGCGCATATGTATTTGGTGACCCTTGTACCAATTTTTGTGTTTAAATAAATAAATGTCATGCGTACAGTAATAAAAGTAAATCTATGAAGCAAAACCGTCGTTAAAATTCATGACATATGCTGTTGTAAAGTTGACATTAAATAATAAATTTATTACATTGGACACCACAAAAAACTGGAATTGATAACCTCAGTTATTGCTTAATTTACGTATTTCTGACAGCCGATTTACCTATTAGAGTATGTACGGAGTGATAAGGAATATTTATCGTCAACTGGATGCTTAAACAAAAAGATACGTCAATAATGTGCGGGATAAGATTATGTAAAATCAATTTAGATACAACAAGCAGTAAACCAGACGAAAATGTTGACCAATTTATGGCTTCCATCTATTTTTATTTGTTGAAGTAGTATCTGTCCTTTGCATTTATATTTCCGAATTTCTATCAAAAAAACGACAAAAAAAGAAAATAAAAGCGGTATTTAATGAGAAATTTGTTGTAAATTTAAGCAACAAGGACTCAGATTTCCATCCTTTTCGCCAAGCGTAAGAAATAGTGAAACTTTGCTTAAATTCACACCAAGTTGTATACTTATAGACTGAATATTTCCGACATTAGCTAGTATTTCTTCAGGGAAACTAACTTACCTACGAATCATCTGTACAAAACCAATTATTTTCATAAATTCTAGTTTGTAAAAATGTTCACAATATTAGGATACCAGTCACATGTCTACATTGTAATCAGCAAGTATTATTATACTTAGCTGAAAAGAAATAGACGTTAGCGATTTATCCGGCGTTTATTAGACATAACTAGGGGTTGGTAATGTCTCCTATTTTAAACGAACAATAATTCACACAACTTTACCGAATACGTAACATCTGATTTAATGCAGTACACTCAGGTGGGAATGTTGATATACGCGTAACAAACAATTTGTTCGGAAAGTATGGCCCCATTATGAAACATTTCAACGACATCAACGTCCAATTCAGACATTTCTGGTGTTAGTAAGCACAATTCCTGCACATTTTAATTCGCAGTTAATACACAAACAAGTTGTTTTGGAAGTGCATGGGTTGATGTATGCAGCAGTCACACTTTCGCAAGAATTCCGAACAATAATTGTAGGCAAATAAAACCTTAAGACCGTGGTTCTGCATAGATTAGTAAGAAAGTGCTGATTGATGAACATGAGTGGCCAGTGAATGACACTGGATGTATCCTAAAGTGTCTTGATGAATGCAGTTAAAGACAAGTCTACTATTTCTCTAGATCAGGCTAAATGTCGAAAATTTTATGCGCATTTCTCGATTCATATTCACTGTTGGGGAAAGTAATTCGACCACCTAGTCGTGTCCCTAGAACCTTACATTTATCACAACCAGTTGTATCATTATGTCTAACGACATACCTGACGTTGCTACGAGTTGCAGTGTCACAAATAACAGCTACTAACTTTACTATCAAATGTAATTGACACTTATTTAGATGAAGGCCTACTGTCAGCAACTCCTTTAACTCAGTTACAAGTGCTGCGGACATTTCGTTGAAAACAGAGTTTTAATTCACCAACTATGAATACTTCACTAAGGGATGGATCTACTAGGCGTTCTAGGATTGATCACAACTGTTGATTAGAGCTTTTGAACGACAGGCCGTCGTAATTGAGTTGCATACTCAGTTCGTTAAAACTGAATTTACCTAGCCAACCTTCGAAAATCCTCAGTAAACTTGACTTCAGTCCAATGCGGTAGTACAATTGTGTCCAGAAACTTGGGCTTCATATTATAGCAACGACTAAGTACACTTCGGAAGGACATGGACAGTTCAGGAATATACACCCGAAAAAGGTCCAGAATTCCGTTGGCCTTGTATACAATTATGTCACTTCCCTTTATCATCTGAATTACAACTCTGTCTAGCTGTTGCTTCATTGAGAGATGAACAGACAGAGATCTTTCGGTAGCGGGACCACCTACAATTTAATAAAAAATAAAGACTACCGTTTGTTGCACTGGGTACATAATGTACGTAACTACAGGAGGCAGTGGCGGATTTTTGGATCGGTGGCAGCCCATCGAGTTTGACACTGTTGGCTGCAACCCGTCTCATATCCCATTCATTACGTCTAACATTACTAGTCTAAAAGAATCAATTAGTTGCAGTCAGGTTGGACAGGAGTAACTGAAGTCTATGACAGTTCGAACAACTCGTCTCTATGACGTAAGATTCTTGAAAAAGTGGTGTGTCCATTTGACATACCAAAACAAAACCTAAAAGTTGGTACTGTAAAGCCGACTGAACTTCATCATCATAATGATTATGTTTAATATGATATATACGATGTATTAGTGAATAATTTGTAATTTATTAAACTTTAATAAACATTTAAATGCGTGACGAATCATTCTTTTAATCACAGCAATAGATCGATTTTTGTTAACAGCTGTAGTTAAGTTTCTTTGGCACTGCGTCTACTGTGCGTAATTGACAGGAAAGAACAGAATACATGAGTAGAAACTGTTAGGCTGTTATTATCGCCAGGCTTTTCCGTGATATCTGTCGAAAAATGTGGAAAAGCATTGAGTAAAACGAGACATTTTGGATAAATTCACCGAAATTGAGGAAAATTTTGCGATTTCATAAATATAGACGGATTCCATCAGAGTGTAATGGAATTCCGGGGAAACATAAGGGGAATCCCCGAAGTTTAGGGAAAATATCAGAGAAGAACGCAAAATTTACTCAAAATTGTTGAGTTTTGTGGTTTTATTGACACATAGACCGATTTCCCCAAAATATGATAAGATTCTGGGGAAATTTAGGAAAATATCGCGGAAAAAACCCAAAAGTTTGGGGAATTTCCCTACATCTATGGAAAGTCCAGGGTTTTGGTGCCATTTCTTCAAAATTTTCTATAGCGGCTTACCCAAAATTTTCCCTAAACGGAGCAATTTTTCTCCCGAATCGGGAGACTGGGTATTGCGGCGAGACTCTAATTTAAGGACGACCTTTGAACGAATCTTAAGTGACCTTGACAATTATTAGCCAATCAGAAGAAAGTTAGTATAAAGTGAAAATATATTATATGAAAGTAATGAATTACAGTGGATATTCTCCTTTTACATGATTTAAAAACTTGTTAAAGTTTGATTAAGGTTCAGAGGTTCTGAATTCACGATGCATATGGAATAGAAACTCGTCTATTGGGTTAGAGTTAGGTTTACGGGTAAGGTTAGGGTTAATTGAGGGTTAAGGTTTAGGGTTAGGTGAGGGTTTAGAGTTAAGGTTAGAGTTTAGGGTTAGTTGAGGGTTTAGCGTTAAGGTTTAGGGTTAGTGTTAGTTGAGGGTTAAGGTTTAGGGTTAGGTTTTGGGTTAGGGTTAGGATGCTAACATACGCGTTTTTAGGGTTAGGATGCTAACATACGAGTTTTTAAATCATGTCAAAGAAGAATATCTACTGTAATTTATTACTTTCTTTTAATTTATTTTTACTTTATGCTGTCTTCTGATTGACTAATAATTGAAATTACTCAAACGCTCCTGATTGGCTCGTCCCTAAATTAGAGTCTCGCCGTTCTATCTGTTGTAACCTTTCATTAATCACCTACTCCCTAAAATCCGCTGTGAACCGATCGTATGTTAGCAGCGCGTGTTGAACTTGGCTCCGTGACCTTGAAATTGCTCAAACGCTTCTGATTGGCTCGTCCCTAAATTAGAGTCTCGCCGGTATTGCTAATAATTGCAACTTCGTCTTCAAAAGATTAAGAAGTACACTGGTTGTTAACCGTTTTTCTGGGGTGCTAGGCGACACGGATTTTGGGATTTTTCTGCGAACTTTGAGGAAGTCTGCCTAAAGTCTAGACTGCGCTTTGCCTAAATTCCACTGCTCATATTAATTTTGGGTAACTTTTAAAAAGTAAGCGAAGATGTCCTCAGCATTCAGTGACTTACTTCAGAATACACAGAGGGTACATAGGCATCTACAGCTGGTGACGAAATCAGTTCATCATTGTAGTCACCTTAGCTATTTCCACCTGCGCGCAATGACCTTGAGTTGAATGGCGCGCGGTAAATAAAGACGACACTTTCGGTCTTCCAAAACAACGACATTTTTACATGAACAAGAGGTACAAAAAAAGTATTTACGTGTGTCTAAAATGAAAAAATTGTAGTTAACTATATTAACAAACTTGAGGAGTGTAAGAATAAAACTACAATGGTACAGAATAATGTTGTTGAATACACGCATTACCTGAATAAACTAACTATGACTTGAGATATCATTCCAGCGTGCAATGAACGTACAGTGTAACGCAGTCGGACGTGGCGAATAAAAATTAAAAACGGAGCAAAATTAACAACATAATCTAGTGATTAAGTTAAAAATACATTATGAAGTGACAAAATCTGGTTACTTGAACGCACAGATGACCGTTATTACACTGGGCGATACATTAAGTTTACATAGTAGCGTTGCGGATAACTTCACTCTATAAAGGTTTGGTCCCCTTGGAGTAAAGACAACTACATCAATCTCCCAACAAGTTATGGATACTATGCTGCAAAATATTCCTGGTACGGTGGCTTTTGTGGTTGATTTATTTATCATGGGTACTGACTACGCTGACTTAGAGAAGGATATGGATATGCTCGTCAGGTGCATAACACATTATAGGTTTGGATCAGCTGCTACAAAGCATGACTTTAATAACAAACAAGTGCGCTATTTGGGATTCATAACCGACAGCAACGAAAGAAACCTGATCCACAAAACTTCGATGCTATCAAAACGATGCCTCTACCGATAGATGTATCACCCTTGCACTCCTTTTTGGGAATGGTTACCCATTATGGTGTTTCACTTCCAGAAAGTCATCGTCTGCGTCTGCAATGGACTGTTCACTTACATAGAATACCAAAGGCATCTGGTCGACAAAATGTCAAGAACTATTCCTAAACTAAAACTGCCTCTATCCTCAAACCTTTTACTCACGCACTGTAATCCAGCCGTTCTCGTTGTAGTTACAGCAGACGCGTTAATTTATGGATCTGACCTAGTGATTGTTCACGCTACACGATCACTGACAACGACAGAAAAGAAATATAGTCAGATTGAAAAGGAAGTCTTTTCCATTATATTCGCTGTGGAAACGTTTCACAAGATGCTATTTAGCAGGCAGCTTACCCTGCTAACAGACCACAACCCGCTACTGGCAGTTTTTGAATACAAGAAGAGTATCCTTTGTAACGGAAAAAGAACAGTGAAAATCCCTCTGCAGCTTCTTTGTTGAACAGTATTTTCATTTATTTGTTCCTTCTCCCTTTTGTGTATTCCAACCTTTGTTTCGATCTCGTTTAACCATGTCTTTTGTTCTTCAGTCTTCCTCGTTTGAGCCTTTATTATGTGATTTTGATTAAAGACTTATTTTTGGTTACCTAATTTTCTATTGCATGTTGCCGGACCATTGACAGTAAGGTTGTGTTTGACTAAGCTCAAGGTCACGGCGTGGTTCAGTTTGTGATTGTTAACCTTCTGACTGTCTGCTTGGGAGAATTGCTGCAATCCCTGCAGATAGATATTTGATCCCATCTTATTGGGAATATTTGTATTGATTCTCAGGTATCAAACCCTTTAGTATTAACTGTCTCTTTCATTGTTTAGCGCGCTACTTTGCGTTAGAGAAACTTCTGACTGTATAGCACAGGCTGTACCGTTTGAGGTATTTTGTATTTTGATGTAATTTGTTCTGTTTTCTTAATTAGAACCGTTTATATTGAGCACAGAGTTTGTGTTTTGATATAATATAATACGAGTATCTCAAAGACGCGTTGTGGGCTATACAGAGGAACTTGGTCTGGTCTAATCGAATAAATTTTGGGTTCGTCAGTCCGTTGTTCCAACCGAATATTGGCTGTTCGGTCGTTACAGTTCTCAAACGAACAGTAATCTCAAGTGACAAATTCCGGAATGCCTGGAAAGCTCAATAAGGTCAACGAAAACTTGGCATTGGGCCACGGAGAAATGCAATTGGATACACCTTCAGAGGTACGGCAAGTCAAATTAGATGCATTTTCATGTCATGGCTCTAATGTTAGTTTATTAAGTAGACGTAGTAAAGTTAGCCCTAGGATTACCTTAGCAGAGTTAAAAGGAAGGCAATTATTAGAAATGAGGGACTTGAAAGATAGACAGAGGAAACAACTACTGTGCTTTCAGAGAGAGTTTGGGTCGTTAAGGCTGAACGAAAGCACGTGTAGCAAGTTATCTTCTGTTTCTAACAGTGATGACAGAGAAAAGGAGTACGTTCACAGGTTCGTAAGTCCTTCTCATGACCTTAGGATAAAGTCTCTAGAAAAGTCGAAACTGTTAGATTATCCAGGAACGAAGGAGAAAGTGACCTTGGAATCTCTAAGTGTAGGTCATGAACTTCCAACAGTAGAGCGCGATGCCTACTTCGATGAAAGTTACAATATTGTTCCTTTACCTAGAGGAGTGGCTGAGGAAGACATTGCTACCCCTGTTATTTGCAATGAATCTGGTATGTGTAAAGCTGGCTTCACCAAAAATGATGCTCCCAGAGCCGTATTACTCCCTATTGTTGGAAGAACTAGACATCAAGTAGTGACTGTGGGAATGGATGGAAAGGACAGTCATGTGGGAGACGATGCTCGATCGAAACGTGTTATCCTGACACTGAAGTACCGAATTGAACATGGTATCGCGACTAAGTGGGGTGATATGGGGAAGATGTGGTACCACACATTCTACAAAGGGTTGCGAGTGGCAACAGAGAAACATCCGGGGTTGTTGAGAGCAGTTTCATTGAACCCGAAGGCAAACTGTGAGATGACAAGGATCATGTTTGAGACTTTTAATACACCAGGTACGTGTGCTGCTACTCAAACGATGTTGTCGCGATGTACATCTGATCGTGCAACTGGTATAGTGTTGGACTTAGGTGATGGTGTGACCCACACAGTTCCGATTTATGAAGATTATGCGTTGCCTTATACTGTTTTGCGATTGGACTTTGCTGGTAGGGTTCTTGCCGACTTTAGGATGAGGATCCTGACTAAGACAGGTTGCAGTTCCTCTGTCTATTCGTGGAACATACTCAGGCGCAAACCACCGGACATCGTTTTACTCTATAGTAAGTCTAGAATGGCACCTATAAAACAGGTAGCTGTGCCTAGACTGGAACTAACAGCGGCAGTATTGAGTGCTAGAATGGGGGAAGTTTTAAATAAGAACCTTCCTCATGTGTTTGACAAGACTCACTTCTGGACGGATTCTATGATAGTACTGTACTATATAAGAAATACAGATAGTAGGTATTCCACCTTCGTGGCTAATCGTCTGGCCGCTATTCGTCATTTAACATCTGTAGACCAGTGGGGGCACGTAGAATCCAATGAAAATCCTGCTGACTGGACATCACGAGGCATACGGAAGGAGCTAGATTTAAAGAACTGGAGTGAGGGTCCTTCCTTCTTAAGGAAGAGGGAGTCTGTAGGAACACTAACGCTTATGTGCGAAAACCCCCCAGAAAATGTTGAATTTAAAAGATGTCACACGACCAACGCAGTTGCGAAAAAACATAGCTTAAGTCCAATTCTGCTATATCACTCAAATTGGATAAAGCTGATTAAAGCGGTAGCATGGCTCAGAAGATAAGTGACCTATATAACCATCATGTACTCCCGTCACAATGACAGGTCCCTAAATGTGGGCTATCTGTCAGTTGATGAATTGGATGCAGCTAAACACAAGGTATTAGACTTAGTGCAAAAGGAAGTGTATGGGGAGGCAGTAAAAGTGTCTCGATGCAATGTCGTAAGCGCAACTGATATAAAAGAGCTAACAAATCTTTCACCTACGCTAATCGATGGATTGCTTTGTGTCGGCGGACGATTAAATTACTCGGATTATCCACTCTCAATCAGACATCCGGTAATTTTACCCAGTCATCACTTCGTAACAGAACTTATTATTAGACACCATCACCACCTAGAAGGTCACACCGGGACATTACAAGTGTTAGCTACCATACCACGAAATTATTGGATTGTTAAAGGAGCCAGTGCAGTTAAACGAGTGATAGGTAGATGTGTGAGGTGTATACGCGCGAAGGCCACATTAGGCCAACAGATGATGGCACCTCTCCCCAAGTGTCGAGTGCAGCAAGGCTGGTTTTGCTTCTCCTCCGTCGGGATAGACTACTTTGGGCCGTTGATAGTGCGTCGGGGAAGAAGTGAGGAAAAAGGATATGGATGCCTATTTACGTGTCTCCAAACACGTGCCGTACGTTTGGAAGTAGCTTTCAATTTGAGTATTGATGCTTTTATAATGGCTTTAATACGTTTCATAAGAAGGAGAAGAACTCCTAAGGAAATTTATAGCGACAATGGGACTAACTTTGTCGGGGCCACTTCCGAATTACGGGCTAATATGAGTGTGTGGGACAAGCATAGAATAAACGACTTAACAGTAACGAAGGGTATACGCTGGCATTTCAACCCCCCACTAGCTAGCCATCGAGGCGGAGTTCGGGAGAGATTAATACGGTCTGTTCGGAGGATCTTACTATTTATTTCCAACGGGCAAATATTACACGAGGATAGCTTGGTAACTTATTTTGTGGAGGTAGAACCAATTTTAAACAACCGCCCAATCGTTCCTGCGACGTCAGATGAAAAGGATGATTTGGCGCTCACGCCAAACACTTTGTTATTACTAAGAGACAGTGATGGTGCGAATGAGAGAAGGTGTAGTAAGAAGAGATGTGCGAAAGCTCTGCCTTCTAGAGGGAGCCGAGTAATTGTAGATTGTAGCTTAGGTTTATGGATGTACAGGCGTACTGTTGTAAGTCCTGTGCCTCCCATTGATATAGAGCAGTTAGTAAGGAGAGCCATGACAGAAATGTATTCTAAGGTGTCTTTGCGTAACTGGAGGGATTTTGGGGGCCGGTGTAACGGAAAAAGAACAGTGAAAATCCCTCTGCAGCTTCTTTGTTGAACAGTATTTTCATTTATTTGTTCCTTCTCCCTTTTGTGTATTCC